ATGTACAAAGACAGAGAGTGTGGCGCGGAGTGTATTGCATCGTTCGGAAATTTCGAAAGTCGGATACATGACAATACTTATATGATTTTTTTATATCGATTATCGATATTTATCGTTTTTCAACTATGAATCGATAAATAACCGATTATCGGTTTGCAAGTCCTAGTTCGCAGTTTTCTAAGAGGCTAACTTATGCCAAACATAATCTTTCCTGAACTGATGACAGCGTTGCGTGTCAAGTGCAGAGTCAATATACTTGACGCCATTTTTATTTATCAAAAAGCTCCCAAATCGGCAGTGCAAGTTGAATAACTGGTCGCGTTGTCGTCTCATTGGTGTGAATGTTTGTATTTGAATACATGTACCGAGTCATGTCACCGTCGGGTTGCGCCAGTTGCTTCCGATGAGAACAGTCCCTACGTTCCGTCATAAATTATCTATTTTCAGGTGGAATGAAGTTCGTCGAGTGGATGGGAATTATACCCGATGATCTGTCAGCGATATTGATGCGCCAACCAGAACATCCATTTTTGGTTAAAAATGCCACACTTGATGACCTTTCTCTATATATGCCCTGTGTGTACTTCAACAACACTGCGTGACTGCGTTACAAGCTAGTATGTATTTACATGAGAATACATTTGATCAACTGGTTCTTCAATAGGTTACACGTTTAATAACAAAGGATATATTCTACAAACATTTACACATGCCTCATATACGCCAAATCAATTAACACGATCATTTGAGCGTCTAGAATTTCTAGGTGATGCTATTCTAGATTTTCTGATAACTTGCTACATATACGAGCAATGCGAGGGTGAGTATACGTATTTTTATTTCATTCATATATTTTTCTCAACAGATACAAGATTCAATTAAGGGAGAAACTATACAAGTAATGAAAAACAAAAACACACGTACAAAAAAGTATCTTTGATTGATGACACTAAAAAACTCTATATGTGTATATTGGAAATCCAACACAGAATTGTACAGAACGTGGATAATGAATGAATATCAATGGCTACAAAATAACCTTATTTATACTTATTTCTAACATAATATTCTGAGTGTGTGTAAAAGAAGAGATTACAAAAAATGCTTTGTCAATACATAAAATATTAAACTCAAACAGTAGTATTTTCCCAAGCAGAGATAAGTAGCTGTGACATCATATGATCCCAATCAGGTTCTTCTTTCTGGCGAGATAGAATAGGTTCTTATCACTGACTATACCCTATTGTTGCTTGTCCCTCATTCCAAGTGGAAGCTTGATTGAAATATATACTGAAGTGAAGCTGTCTCCTAATGTTTCGAGGCGTCCCAAGTTGACAATATCATTTGCCTTAGCAGTCGTGAGGGCTCTGTACAAGTTCTTTTGGAGGTGAAAATGTAAAATTGTAATTATATTTGAATAAGATTAAAAAAAACAGTGTCATCACTTAATTTACAGACCTCGAAATTCACATGAGTATTTATTGCACTGTTAGAAAAAACCGTATGCCGAGGAATCCACGTGGGATACATGTGAAATGTACTGCATTTATTACTACACTTGATTTCCAGATCCATTCATGCATGCTTCCAACTATCCTCTCCAAAGTACTTTTCTGTTTCCAACTGGAGGATCTGCATCAACAGATAGCTAGAGAATCTGGGTTAGGAGATTTAGGGGTCACAAAAACTGGCAACCTTGAATTAGACATGCACTTGCTGTATTACGAACCTGACGTTGATGCCACTGATGATTCTAGAGAAGGTAGTGTCTCTGTTCTTCAAGATGTTTCACTGCTGAAGAAGGGTGCTCCATCTGTTTTGATGGCCTTTAGATGTGACACTGATGGATATTGAATGTTATGAGGGATTCAACTCAGCACAAGTAAGAACGCTCTTATCTTCAATTTAATTCTCGTATATAAACTATTTATGCAGGTAACCACCATTAGTGACCACATGGTGAGTACTTTTTAGATAGATAATGAGAAAAAGCTGAAGAAGATTATACTTCGAGATATATGAGAATGGGGAATAAGTAATGCTTCTATCGTCGTGCCGTTATACTTCTTGAATAAGTACTCGATATAATAACGGAAAGTTACTTTTAATGAAGAAAGTACAACCATTCGGCGAGTATACAGTGACATAAAAGTCCCAGAATGGCTCTGTATTTTCTGGAGTCAGGTATTTTTGGAAAAGGTCAATTTCAGGTCATCAGTAACTTTCAGCAAGGAATTCAACGGTGACTTTGAATTTGACCTAGATCTTCACCTCCAAGGTTAATTTACAGTCAACTTCACTTTTTTAAGATGCTACTAAAGGTCAATTGAAGATCAAATCTGTGCTGCTAGGAAAACCTCCCATAACAGGATTAGTGATAAAAATAACTATCAAGGTCAGGTCTGTAGTAAATTTTGACGAGTTATCTTGGCTTTGACCTTGAGCAAGATCATTTCATCTTCAATTTTTTTTTCAAATAGAAACTAACGGAAACAGTATTGGTTAAGAATCATTTGTAACGAGCACCGTAGTTCCCTCGTTAAAACCTACTCAAAGATCTGACCTTGCCAGGTATTTTCGTCACTTTTTGATTTCCTAGCAGTACACTTTTGGCCTTTATTTGACGTCGAATGGTTACTTTGAACGTGAATCCTAAGACACATTTGAACAAAAAAATTCCGGTCTCTGGATTTTCGGTCATCAAATAGGCGTTTCTATTTGGAAAAATAGAGTTGACCTTGAAATTACTTTGCCATGGAGGTTGCTAAATACCAGTTATTTTCGTCACTATCTCTGTGAGATTTCTAGAGTTTTTCCTAGTATCACATATATGACCTTTATTTAACGTATTTTGCTCCAGCGTTGATCTTGATGTTGAACTTTAATAGATATTCGAAATTAAATTTTCCCGCTCTTCCAACTGCCGGCAACATTGATAAAGGTTTCTATTAAAAAAATTGAGTCGAATTTGGGTAAGTTTTAGCAAGGGAACTGCATGCTCGTTACAAATGATTTTTAACCGATACTATTCCTGCGGGTTTCTATGTGAAAAAAGTTACCTTGAAATGACTTTTAAGGTGAGGTTCAATGTCAAATCAAAGATCACTCATCAAAATTTACCAAAGACTGACCCTGGTAGTTATTTTCATCATTAATCCTATAAGATTCATAGTGGTTTTTCTAGCAGCACACATTTGACCTTTAGTGGTCACCATGACCTTGGTCTTCAATTCGTATTTGAAGGTAAAATTTTCCGCTCTTTCGATTGCATGCATTAAAAATAGGGATTTTAATTATTTCCTTGATAGTTATGTTCATCACTCACCCAGTGAGATTTATAGAGGTTTCCCTAGCAGCACACATTTGTTCTTCATTTGACCTTTGTCATCCTGACCCTGGACTTTAATTGTATTTGAACGTAAAATTTTCTGTTCTTTAGATTGCCGGCATCAAAAATAGGAGTGCTCATGAAATCCTCATAAAGGAAATATTTTATTATATGAGAACAGAATAAGTACGTGGCATTTATAATTAACTAGTGTAATAATATTAAAGATTCAAATAAAAAACTTCATTGCTCTGTTAACCGAAAAAAAAAAAAAAAACAATCTGAGGGACCCTGAGACAGATTCCAGTCCATTCCACACAAAACAATGTATCTGTTGGCGAAAACGAACATGAGACCGAAAACTCATATTACCGTATGGACGCTAGACGAGACTATGAAGGATGTCTATAGACCATCTATATATAGATCGTGGGTTGATACTGCCTATAGACAAATTGCGCAACGGGGTCTTCTAGTGTGTACTAAGCTTAAGGATTAAGACTGTCCATGAAACAAATCAGGTAAATGGTGCAAACACTGATAATCGAGCACTTCTATTATACCAGCAGGTGATACAAACATCCAATAGGTATATTCAATTATTTTTGTGAAATTCAAAATAGATGTTACAGTTATCCTTCAGACTTTCGTTGTCGAACTTGGATTTGCGGTATACTTGTTGTTTTCTCAGATTTCGTATCGGTGTTGATCGCATGTAAAAATGTTGGAAATCTTTGGAAAAAAACTATATCTGTTAGATCGTAAGTATTTTGATAATGTATGTTTCTACGAAACAAGTACAGGATGACAGGGCTTTACATATTCACGTGTAGTGCAGAAGATCTGTGATTTAAACGAATCCAATAAAATCAACATAAATAGACACATACTTGGGAAGAGATGCGGGGCGTGTGGTATTGACTTTGAGCATCGATCGACGCATTTTCTGGACAGGACACAGGTGCACCGCTAAACAAATCTCATAAATGTCTATTTCCAATTTAGGCGTTCATCTAACATAGTGCTTCGCTGCAACACCAACCCCGAACAAATTAGTCAAGATCTACACACTTTTCAAGTTACTATTGAGCAACAAACAGAACATAAATCACTGTTTAAGTGCAATCTGTATAGCTAATATATTACTCAGACTTAGATTTGTCACGAGTCACAATGCTCGTATATTCGTATAAATCGTAAGAATTGTGCTGTAGATATAAGTGATGTCAAATAGAGACAGCGTTTGGAATACCAAAGGATACCAAAAAATGCTCAGTTCCTATAGTTATTATGCCCCTGTCGCCAAGATGTGTCAGAAAGGAACATAATAGCGTTAGATTACAAAAGCAAGTGTCAGACGTCCCACGCCCCCTCCCCTAAATCCGCCACTGCTACCGTTGAATTCCTTGCTGAAAGTTTCTGAAGACCTGACCTTTGTCTTTTCCAAAAATATAGAGCCGTGCCGGGACTTTTGTGTCAGGCTGTATCTCACTCGTTTTGGTTAGTATTTTCCAAGATGCCCGTTTCGCCTGTCTCCAAGACTGGACCTAATACCCATACCTTACTAATGAGCATGAAATAACGCTGTCTCCGGTTGGTCATGGTTACAGGAGATGGAAAACATACATGTCCATTTCAGCCAAGATAAGTAATGTACTGTTATTTTGCGTAGGTACATAACGAAGATATCCAGTTTTCTATCGACAGTCCAGTCAAGAAACAACGAGCGTTGGCTTTGACGTACTACAAGGATTATAGCTTCAAAGATATTAAATTACTTGATGATAAAACATTTGAAGGTAATCTATTTGGTCTATGTTGAAAATATGAAAGGAGAATGGGCAAACATAGATGTTTGTTAGTATCCAAGCCAAAAGCAAAGCATCATTTGAAAGTTGTTTTCATGTTAAACAAGAAATACCGTTTCATGTTATCTATTTTTAGGTGATTGCTATCATTATTTTATACCTAATCAGGCGGTTATTTTTAGTTTTCTTTCGAACTTGAATGTTTCCTTTCAGGATGTGCAAGTGAATTTCAAGATATCATTGGATTTTTCTAGGAGCACCTCTGATCTTTCTTGAGTTGGATGTCATTTTGTCAAGGGCACAAAATCCACATTTTGTGTCTCTTGTACTTTTTGTACACTGCGCTTATTTGTCAAAAAAGAAACATCCCCGGAACGGCATGTTCTAATTTAGTTTTCCATTTAAAAACTGAACTTTTTTTATTTTCTCTCAACAAGTAACATAGCTACGTAAAAAGTTGAAGATGCCCAGAAAGTTACTTTAATTTGTTTTGTCAAATGAGAATCTCAAATACATGGCATACTTGTAAAACTTCCAAAACACCCGAGGAATACAACAATGTATAGCCTAGAAAGACTGATTCAAATCTACGACAAACCCTCGTTAAAATAATTGTAGAGTAATTTAAAATATATTTGGTCAAAATCAATATCTGAAATATTTTGGGTCACATTCTATTCTGAAAGCGTGACGTTTTTCGACCTAAGGTAGGTGGACTATGGAAGACCATGCATATTAGTAAATCTAAGAATGTATTTGTGGTAACAGTTTCAAAACAATTTTAATTAGTTTTATATCGAGATCAAATCGGTTGTCAATAACCTTTATAATTTTTTCTGAAATACCATTTAACCGACCAAAATGGCTTTCTTATGTAAATCCAAAATTTCCCAGATGTCATTACCAATCTTCAATTGAAAAACAAAGAAAGTAACAGTGTACTTATTTGAAGACTTACGTTTTGCTGTGAGATTATAATTTTATCTTCTTGAGTTCGATGGATGTAAGTGAAGGAATTTGTCATTGCAGCACAATAACTACGAGTTTTTAGTAATAATTGGGCTTACATGGTGCATGGCCTTAAATGGCCCACCCACCTTATATGCATTTAAGGTTTTTTAAATCAAATAATCACTTCCCAGAATAATTTCAGTGACTTCGGAGACAGTCTGCACATTGGAACGTGGTGGGACTGAAACCCATTTGACCCAAAAAATGCCTGGAAAAATCCTGATTGTCTCTGAATACTCTCCTGCAATATACTTTGACAAAATGCTATATTTATGTCCAATATTGGACTAAAACACCTAAAAATCTATACTTTCTTCAGCATTCATCTTGAAAGTGTAACCCTTCCTTTCCGCAAAAAGTCCAGAAAAGATGGAATGCAATGAAGATTCCAACTTTTCTGCACAATCACAGAAAGGGGGTTACCATTAGCTTCCGGTAGCTCAGTCGGTGGCATGAAGACATCTACAGGCGTGTAGCTGTGTGTCGACCATGGCATGGCTAGAGGATAGAAGAACAAACAGAACACAAAAATTTAACAGATTTTATTTAACAAAAAAAGCAATTTCATTACATTACAATTTTAAAGAACAAAATAAGTTTTAAATCTTTGGTGCTGCTATAAAACTATACACTTATCTTTCGCTGGTCCATTTTTGACTGGACTGAAGCGAGGATGGCCAGGTGCTTGAAGTGGAGGTCCCAGTTATGAGGTGTGACCTCACATTTAGTGGCTTCAGAACTAGATGTAGGCGAAGTTGAACTTAAAGGTGATGGCGCTGCCAAGGCACATGCATAGGTGAAGTGATAGGCCAAGCAATGCAAAGTCAAAGACAAAGGCAAAAGCAAAGTCAAAGACAAATCGAAAGGGAAAGGGAAAGAGAAAGGGAAAGGGAAAGAGAAAGGGGGTGGCCCCAATCATTTTGTCCTATTCGGACACACATTCTACAAACCGCTAGCACATGGTGCTATATGACCTCATGCTACAGAGAACAAAATTCTTAGCTCTTGCTAGATCGGCGGCTCAAGTGAAAACGCGAGGAAGATCGCGATCAAGCGCTCCAAGCGGAAAATTTTCCAAGTAAAAAAGCTAGAGATGGGATTAATGATTTAATAATCGAGAAGGGATTTAATAAATACGATCGGACTGTGCAACCGTTACACTCGCCCCTACTTAACCAGAAAAAAATTCGAAGAAGCATTCAAGATTTTTTTTTAACAAGGAAATTGAAAGTTATCACGGAAGGAGAAATGTACAACCATTCGACCAGATAACAAGTAGCAAAAGTAAGGTAGAAACAAAAATGTTAGAAGAGAATTGGAAGAAAAAGGGATAACCTCAAGTCTACCAAACAAGAGGGATGGTTATAGCACCAACTCGCTGAAAAGTACAGTGAAGTTGCACTTAAAAAAACTATCATCATATGATGAAAAACCCAAAACATAAAACATCGTCATACCTAAGACGAGAAAAATAATAAACCAAAAGCTTCAGCAGTAGTCCAAGCACGAAGTGAGGAATCACAATGGCATCCAAAATGCACGACTGATTACTAAAAACTTCAAAACTAAGTAAGAACCTAAACCATAAGAGGTACTAAAAATAATAATAATAATAATCTTTCTCAAAACCATTGCCAGATTATCTCGCAATACTCCAAACCCAAAAAGAATATCATCTACAGTGATATTTTAAACCAATATCCAATATAAAAAAAACAGTGCATTACTATTTTCAAAATATGAAAATCAAAAGAAATTAACAAATTCCATTAGGAATTCAAGTCATATAACAAAACAATTTACAATTACTAAATCAATGAAAACTTGATCACGAAGGTATTTTAATCAAAAAAGATGTTAACTAAGTGCAGTTCTGATTCCACAAAAAAATTGTCGGGCGCCAGCAGTCTGTAAGACTACAAAATAATTCAAAATGTTTTCAGAGAATTAAAGTATATAAGAGACATTCATGAAATATTGAAGTAAGATTTTCAAAGTCAAAATATAGCTTAAGTTCAATCAATGAACTAAAATTCAAGAGTAAGTTCAATCAAAATTTTCGGGTCATGTGACAACATAAGAACCAGACCAAAAAAAAAATTCTGAAGTTCAATATAGAAAAGAGCAAAATAAATTTCCAAAAAAATTAAGTGCAACACAAGTGCAACCGTAAATCTAATAGTATTAAAATCATAAAGTGAAAGGAAATATCAAAGCTATATGAGCATGATTTTATAAAGAATTCTCAAAAAATACAAAAGTAAGCAAAATATTAAAAGTTTCATGAGTAATAAATGAGAAACGAAGTGAACATATGTAAAATGCAAAATAGCGAAACGAAAATCACAAGATATTTTAATAAATCATGATAAATGAGAGTAATGCCGCAAGCAAAAATTGTATGCAAAAGTCTACGATATATGTAGGTGCAAAATTGGAGTTATAAAAAAAAACAATCTAGTGAACAAGAAATAGAAATAAATATGATAGGTAAGAATTCGAATTTTGATTTAAAGCAAAAATATAAGAGAAAGACAACTTTCTAGGGTCACCATAGGTGCACTCCAAAGCCCTAGACAAGAATGTCTATAGTCTATGGAATATTCTCATGTAGATCACTGATATCATCAGCGCACTTCAAAGTCTACACTGAAAATAACCATATCATTGTAAAATGAAAGTTAAGTTCAAATATGAAATATTACAAGATTAGAAAAACTATAATAATTTACCAGTGTAAAGTATGAAAAGAGAATTACTATACTGAGTCTATAAGGATTGGCGATTACTTCAAGACAGAAATTGAAAGAAATAAGAAGTCGAAAAAAAACTGTGAGAGCAGACTATCAAAACAAATGCAATAATGCAAAAGCAAAATCGCCAGATATTTCAAAATCTATAGCGAAACATGAAAGCAATGTCGCAACCAAGCTCAAGACTTAGCAATACGCACAAATGTGCACAAAGGCTGAAAGCATATATGAAAAATCTCAAGAAGGAATTGACAATTACTTCAAATCAAATTGAACTGATTGAATTGAACTGAGACATAAATTACTATATCAAAAGTGAATTTTACTTATACGCCAGAGGTTTCAAGAGTTTATCAATACGCACAGATTTGCAACTAGGCGGAAAGCATATATGACAAGTCTCAAGAAGAAAATAAAATGCATATGAAGAAAACACTTTCAATTAAAGAAACTGTGGATAGTACAAGACCCTCAAAGGCATACATCGCAACGAATCTATGTAACTAACCAGACTACAAAATACTGTCAAAGTTCAAAACCACTCAAAAATATGTGAAAAAACATCAAAAGTTTGAACCAAAAATCAATGCAAGTCTGTGCTCTCGAACAAAGTTATAATGAATTCAAAAAGAGGATACTATCAAAAACTTCAAAAGTAATAGACTTCAAAAATAGAGGTACGTAACTATGTAAAAGAAATTCAGAAAATATACGCATAAAAACATTATAAAATATTATGCACAGTATTTGTCACATGATTTTGATCGGGAATGCAATTTAAATTTTGAGTACACTCAGAAAAATGAAATATTCAAAAGATGAAGTATACACATTAAATTGGAATCAGAAAAATAATTATGACTTGTAAATTTTGTAAGTGGTGAACTGGCGTAACAGTTCAAAAGGTTGAAAGAACAACGATGACAAATGTCCAAAGTAAACATTCAACTGCCATTTACAGAAAATTAGCTTAACAATTATCAAAGGAAATTCTTATCCGTTCGCATCTGAACTAGGAAATAAATATAGGAAAACCTACTCGCTCCAATGTACAGATCGAAAAACTCGCCCCCTTCGATTGAGCGGAAATATGAGTATTGGACTGATTGTAATATTTCAAAAGGTTGAAGGATCAACGATGTTAAATGTCCAAAGTAAACAATCAACTGCCTCTTACAGCAAATAAGTTTAATCATTATCAAACCAAATTCTTCTCCGTTCGCATCT